AACCTTTTGTTCCTATACATTTACAAAGCCACTTCCTTCCAAATAATGTGGTAATAATTTGTGTTGGGCCTGTTCGGTGATAAAATGTTAATGAATTTCAATTACTCTAGTGTCATGTTACCAGAAAAACTATTTTTTCCCAACATTATGTTGCCATACAATTGGATAATTTTAATTTGCTTCACAACAAAGTCAATGGAGCCCACTGTGAACCGTCTGTTCGGTCACACGGTACTAGACAAATTACATTTTTTCAGTGTTATGTCATTGGAAAAAATAGATTTGTCCAACGTTTTGTTGCTATATATTTACAGAGCCATTTTGTTCCAAACGATAATTTGGGCCTGTTCGGTAATAGAATGTTAACAAATTTGAATTAATCCAGTTCAATAAAAAAATATTCATAAATCAAGCATGCATCTATAAAAATCATACATAAAAAGTATCCATACAATTTTTCATAACAAAACAAGTGTAAGAATATCCATAAAAGCATCCATAAAATCTGTCATTATTTGCATCCATCAATTATCATAATTCGTTTATATCAATTGTTTCAATAGTTAATACGTCAGGGCTAATAAGAGTATGGAATTGATGAATACGGATAGCATATGCTTTCTTCCATCCACTAGTACACGGGTGATGAAAATGAATCCAATTATTTGTTATCGGATGTACTGGATGACCAAGTTGCAGATAAACCTATAACAAAGAAATCAATAAATAGAATTACAAAATAAGACATGGTAATGATCTAAGTAGGCTCCGTAGTTACTTGCACAAAATGGTTTCCATTTACAAATTCTATGCAGATATCTCTTCGATCAGATGTTGCAATCGGTACTGATCTAACTGGTAGAAACGTCAAGCATTGTTGCATGGATAAATGATAAAGAACGACTCGATAGTATGATGCTATCAAATGGCCCATGTCGGGCATAGTCATCCAATGATTAAATCCAGAGCCAAATTCGAAGTAGGATAAGATAAAGTTAAGGTCATCAACCCTTTCTTGCGAACCAAATAATTGCACATAGTGCACTACATTCAAATGCAACTCAGTCAACAAGTTGCGCTTAACTTGTTGCCAATCATCTTCACCTAAACCAATCAATCTAGCTATTGCCTTGAAACCATAATTGTCATCTGCTTATACATCTTTTATGTGACGGATACATGGTCTTAACTTTTTCGGAAATTGTTCGAAGTAAGAGATACGATTTGTTGACTATGTTATTTTGTTCGATTTCGAAATATCGAACAAAAGTCGAAGACCAACCTAGAAAATCGAAACAAAAACCTACCAAACAAATAAAAAAAAAAACTCACCATTTCACTTTTTTATGGTTCTTCACCACCGTTTCTTCATCTATTGCTTTCTTTGATAATTAAAACACTATGATTCTCACTTTTTCAAAAGAGATGTGTAAGAGAAAAGAGAAGTTGAGAAAGAAAAAAGAGGAGTAAGGATTGAAGATCAAGGGGTGTAAGGAAATAATCAAATATATTTAATTTTAGTGTTTTGTCCTTAAAAGTAATTTCACACATGGATAAAATTAGAAGGAAAAAAAAAACTCATATGGAGAGTGTAAATAAGTACAGTAGTGGTGTAAGTAGAATCACCTATTTACTAAGGGTGATTCTACTTACACCACTAGTTTACCTCTTTACACTCTCCATATAAGTTTTTTTTTTTTTCTTCTCAATTTTATCCATGTGTGAAATTGCCTTTAAGGACAAAACACTAAAATTAAATATATTTTGTTATCTCCTTACACCCCTTGGTCTTCAATCCCTACTCCTCTATTTCCTTTCTTAATTTTTCTTTTCTCTGACACATCTCTTTTCAAAAAGTGAGAATCATCATATTTTGATCAAAGAAAGCAATGGATGAAGAAACGGTGGTGAAGAACCATCAAAAAAGTGAATTGTTGAGTTTTTTTTTTTATTTATTTGGTAGGTTTTTGTTTCGTTTTTCTGGACTAGTGTTCAACTTTTGTTTGGTTGTTCGAAATCGAGCAAAATAAAATAGTCCGACATCACATTGCCAAACAAAAAAATATAAGTCTAATAACCAACTACCGAATAAAAGATACATTTTTGGTAACCCCAAACTGGATTTTTTTTATTTGTTCGGCTTCTCATTACCATGTATTTTCAGTTTCATTGTTTTTATATTTTTTATTTTTTTGCCTGGAAGGATTATACTTATACTCGTACTCATTGCAACAACGCAAGTATGGCAATATTAGTGGACTCTAGTCATGAATTCATTACAAACGAGGTTTGTTAAGTTTTTTTTTATGAATATGATTTTTTTCTTATTTTTAATTTGTATTGAGTTTTATTAATAATTTGACGGATAAATGTATTTATTATGTTTAGATTTTTAGTAGTCGTGAAGTATTAATTAAATAGGCTTCTAACCTTGGGAAGAATACTGGATTTGTTAATCTTATAAAGACATCAGATGCGGGAGGCAATGGCAGAAAACCAAGACTTGCTTGTGAAAGAAGTGGTTACTATAGAGACAATAGGAAGATCGTGATGGAATGATTAAGGTTGACAGGTTCTAAAAAGTGCGGGTGTCTATTTCTATTACAGGGGAAAAAATTACCTACAAATTACCAAGATGAATTGTGATAACATGTTTGATTGACGGATCCAAACAATGACAGATTTTATAGATACTTTATGGATATTCGTACACTTGATGTTTTTATGAATAATTTTATGAATACTTTTTATGTATGATTTTATGGATGCGTGTTCGATTTTATGAATTTTTTTATGGATGCTTCAAGGAAAAAGTAAATCTTTCAATGTATAGCGACGGGGGCCTAGACAACTCTATTATAGTTTGGCAACATGATACTAGAGTAATCCCATTTGTGTAACAATGTATCACTAAACAGACAATTCACAAGTGGCTCAAATTAATTTCTTGTTTTCATCTAATTGGACCGCAACATAATGATGGGAAAAAAAATATTATCCGATAACATGGCACTAGAGTAATTTAAATTAATTAGTGTTGTATTACCGAAAAAGCCCACCACAAATTAAAAAATCATTGTTTGGAAGAAAGTGGCTCTGTAAATGTATAGCAACAAAATGCTGGAGAGATCTATTTTTTTCGGCAATATAGCACCGGAATAATGTTATTTGTTTAGCACCTTGTTACCAAAATTAGTGGTGTAAAGAGATGAAATAGTTAATTTTGGGTTAGTTTTGGTAATATATTGGGGGTGTAATGAGAATTACATTTTTTTTAGTGGCGCAATGAGATGGAGGGTGTAAAGAGGTTAAATAGTGGTGTAAGTAGAATCACCCTTAGTAAATTATACAAAATAAAAAGAGCAAAATAAGGGGAAAAAAACTCAAGGGTGTATTTGTAATTTCTCTAAAACCAAAATATTCATGTTTCATAACTAACCAAGAATCTTTGTATAATTACGAAAAAAAAAAAAAACTTTCATTCAAATTAGTACAACCAATATTGGTAAATAATACAAAATAAAAGGGCAAAATGGGAAAATTAAAGTGCAAGTCTCTAATAGTAAATAACTCTAAACAAAAGGGCAAAATCAGGAAAAAAAAAATATGAAACTCAAGTAGGTAAGTACTTCTTATATATATAGATATATATTATTGTAATACAAGATCTTATATAATTAATGGGTTCAGCTTGTCTTGTGTTGAGATCAAGATTGGACCCATCCAATTCGGCCCATGGGCTCATTTTAGACCCTGTTTTGATAATCTGAACCGTTCAATGTGTAGACCTCGTCGAGTACTATATCCTTGTAAAAAATTACGTTGATCGGATATCGATAGTTATTTGATTGGATCAGATTTGTATTAAAAAAATAAACGGTGAAAAAGTAAACAATTGACAGAATTCTAATATGATCAAAGAGCTATCGATATCCGACCAACGTGATATTTTGCAGGGATATAGTAATCGACAAGTTATACACATTGAACAGTTCGGATTATCAAAACAGTGTCCAAAAAATGGGCTCATGGGCCGGACTAGACGGGTCCAGTCTTGATCCCAACATGAGACACGCTGGACCCATAATTAATATACAACACTACTACAAACTCATAAAATTATTTTAAAAAGTGAATCAATGCACTACATTCATTGTAAGAATGATGCACATCTCACTAATTTTAAATATACGTATACACTCACTTTTTGGAATAAAATTTTGGATATATTTTCATGATGCGTGGCATTTTTTGTTAACTATTCTATTCAAGTTGTGAACATTTATTTTTGAGTTAGAGGTGTTGGATTTTTTATGGATAGTTTGTAATATTAAATGTTATTTTTAATTTGAATAATGCTTTTTTTTTTAATTGAATTTTTTTTTTTATTTTTTGGTTTTACAAGCTCCAACTCTAATTTAATTTTTGGATAAATTACACTAATCTCCCTTGAAGTTTGGAGGTTTTAAAATAATTACACTCACCTCCTTTTTAGTAAAATTAAAGATATCAAAATTAATGGAGATGGTATGAAAACAAAAAAGTACACAAGATGAATTATACATTTTAATGTAAGAGATATGAAAACAACATTATTTCATTTATATGATTAATACATTTCTGGTGAAAACGAAGCTAAGAGAGATATGAATTAAAACCATAAGAGAGTCAGTGTACTTATGCCAAACTTTTAAGATCTATTATATTTTCTCCAAATCTCAAGAGTGAGTATAATTTACCCTTAATTTTTTTTACAAGCTTTGGTCTCAATCATATTTGATTTGAATTGCTATTGTGTTTCATGGTATGTTTTGCCTTTGCATTTAATTGAGTTTAAATTTTTATGGGGCTTTTGTATCCCGCCTTTCATTTGTGTCCTAGTTATAAAAGGTGAATGTAAATGGAGTCCCTTGCTTGACATGCCAACTCAATGAACACTTCGCTATTGTGCATTTTCCATACAAACAGGAAATAACTATATCATTTGAGGTTCGTTCTGATAAAGTGAAAGATGTTTTTTTTTATCAGAAAGTAACATTTTATTAATACATGCTAATACAACATTACAAAAGGGAAGAATGAAAAAGTTGCCCAGAATCCAACTGCCAAGAGAAAACAAAAAAATCCCAAAACACTCCAACCTTCCTGAAACAGAAGAAACAAGGCATGATAGTCCAACTACAACTATCTATAGAATCAAAAGATAGAACAAAACAAGATAGAACAAAAGAGGATATAGCAGCAACAAAAAACACTCAGATGATTCAAGTTGGTCACTCATAGTTGACTACTTTGGAACAATGAATACCACGATGGTAGTGCTGCCCGGGCGATGTAGAAGCGCTTATATAATGTTTTAACTCCTCCTGATCACAAGCTAGTACAATTAAGTCGTCATCCTCATCTTTATACTTGACATAATAAGTTCCATCCTCTAAGTGCAGTATATGGGCGATTTTCTGCTGCAACTCAACAAGTCCCGATGACAAAGACAGCGGAAACTTTATTATAATATCATCGATATATTTTGCCTTCACGGTCACAATATTTGCATCTCGGATCACTGTATTACATGGGTTTGCGTCAACAACAGCAGCTGAGGCATGACTAAAAGGCCGATTAGAACTTAATTGTCGGATTTGTTGATGATCAACACCCGGGGAAGATTTACTAGGTTGAGAGCAACCAACCATATTCTTGCATGGTGGCCACCTCGGTATACCATAATCTCTACAAACACGCCTCAGTGTACCACTTACTAAATCCAGTTGTCTCATCTCTCCTCCACTTTGTAAGGGCTCCATCCTAGGCAAAGATTTCATCGATATATGCCTTCACGGTCACAATATTTGCATCTTGGATCAATGTATTACATGGGTTTGCGTGAACAACAGCAGCTGAGGCATGACTAAAAGGCCGATTAGAACTTAATTGTCGGATTTGTTGATGATCAACACCCGGGGAAGATTCCAGACCTACCTCCTGCAGGGGAATGGAAAGATGCGACTAAGGAATCTTTGTACACTTTGAAATGTAGAATATTTGTTTGCCAAGAAAAGGAAGCATATAAGAGACTCTATAATGGAAAAACAATTCAGTCACAGCTAAATGAGCACGGAATGCAACAAGAAAATACAACTTGACGTTTTGCTTTGCTTTCTTTCCTTCTACCATAGAAGCTCATGCTGAGAAGATAAACAACACGCTATCTTATCCTCAATTCAATAGTTTATTCATTGTATCTTTTTGGATCTTATAATTTTAATTATAACAATTTACCATTTAATTTTACATTTTGCGTCACATTGATATTGATAACAAACGTGAGGAAATTTTATGATATCGTGCATAGTGTGCCAATGGGTAGTCAATTATGCTAAGTTGGGTTACATCCTTGCAAAGTAATACATTACGGGACGAGAATGCTCTCCCAACAACTCCTTGCCCCTTTCTTAAGTGCTGTGCGTTACTGGCCAAATTGAAGTACTCATCATCTTTATTAACATGGCAAATCACACGGAAGAAGTCACCCATACCCAGAGCCCGGCATGCGCAGTCTACCCTGCACCGGGCCCATACTTGAGCAAAATCTAAACCATGAACTTCACGCACAACTTCCAATACCTTGCTGATTTCATATAAGGCTTCACTTTGTCTCACATTCTGATTGAAAAGTATTGTCACGTCAAAGTATTGTCAGAAGATATTCCTAATCATATTAATTTAAAAAATAAAATAAAATACCAAATTTGACATTACATTACAGTGTACCACTTACTCTTTCCTTGACATGGTCTGCAGGTGAAATTGAAGATTCCAGACCTACCTCCTGCAGGGGAATGGAAAGATGCGACTAAGGAATCTTTGTACACTTTGAAATGTATAATATTTGTTTGCCAAGACAAGGAAGCATATAAGAGACTCTATAATGGAAAAACAATTCAGTCACAGCTAAATGAGCACGGAATACAACAAGAAAATACAACTTGACGTTTTGCTTTGCTTTCTTTCTTTCTACCATAGAAGCTCTCTCTGATAAGATAAACTACACACTATCTTATCCTCAAATCAATAGTTCATTCATTGTATCTTTTTGGATCTTATAATTTTAATCATAACAATTTACCATTTAATTTTACATTTTGTGTCACATTGATATTGATAACAACCGTGAGGAAATAACGCAATTACATACTCCTCACATGCCATTCGGCACTGACAAGATGAAAAAAAAGAACAAGTAATAGTTGTGCTAATGGTCCATCTAGCTTCATGTTGCATTAATATTTTTAGTCCGATTAATATCGATTTCAAAAGATTAGCGCTTTGATTTCTGTAATTTGTGTTTATTGGTCTAAAAAACTATGAATTTTATGCAGGATAGACACATGAGAAGCACGTAGCCATGTTGCATTATAATAGGATCAAATATGCACAAACTAAAAAATTAAAGGAAAAAAATTGTTGGTCTAATGGATTAGTCGGTCCAATGGGCCAGATATCACACAACAGTTGATGATTTATTAATAAAAAGAGTCTTTTGTTAAACAATTAGAAACTTGATGAGACGTGATGTACTTTCCAAAATCGCAGGGGACAATATGTATTTTAAACAAACTATATTTTTGTAATTTTCCCTATTGAAAACACACTTCTCATCTATTTTTTAGTTGTTTTTGATAAATTTGTTTTCCTTTAAATTTAAATTATCAAAAGAGCACAATTCTGCATACATGTAAGAAAGGAGAGAGGGGAGTTAATCAATCAAGATTAGAAAGACAAAAAAATGCCAATTTGTGAGTTGGGGTACTAACCTCCAAATAATTATGCAAATCCAGCAAATCAATGTGGCTGCCCAATACAGATTCCTTTGTGGGCCCTGTTGAAACTATCTCAAGTACACCAACACAAAAGTGGGTAGAAGGATCAAACAGTGGGATAGCCCAAGATAGTTTAAGTTGGCAACCTAAAGCATTGTCGCGCAATGGATTCTCTTTGATAGAGTAATATTCTACATTGGGAGAGAATTCGGGAAATCCATGCTTGAACACACGGCCAGGAACCCCAAGTTGTTCATCAGAACTCTCTCTATCCATGTAAAATTTATAGCCCTCAGAGATCATCCTATACCCACAAAGTCCTTTGACAGCATCATCAATTCTTGTATCAAATGAACAAAGAGCGAAAGGTTGGTTTTGAGTTGTAAGATAAGACCGGCGCTCCATTGTCATTGTGGGTGCCCATAATTGAAATAGTGTTGGATATCCAAACCAATTGCGTATACACTTCAGAAGGACATCTTTGATCTTCTTTTTAAAATCCAAAAAATCTGATTAATAATAACAAACCAAAAAAAAAAAACAAAATTGGAGGAGAGAAGCGATATTTGAAAAGCAGGTAGTACGTAACTGTGTTGATTTAAAATTGACTTACAAATTAAACTCCATTCTTACAAATTAAATAAATAAAAGCCATATTCGAAGGAGGAGGACGAAGAAGAAGAAGAAGAGAGAAAGAGAAGAGACATAAAAGCCCCACTCACTCGGAGGATGTTCGGATTGGTCGTCTTCTCGGCTCCAGAAAACCCATCCATAATCATCCAGTGGGCAGCGGTTGAGTTGAGTGTCCACATATTGCTTGAAATCGTCAGGGAAATATGCTGCTACGCTTCCTTCTTCATCGCTACTTGCTTCAAAAGGGATATCAACAGGAGAGCAAGATCCATCAGATTCGGCCATCTTCCGAGATCTTTTAGCGAATGCTATGCACAGTGAATGATTTAGGGATTAAAACCTATTTGGCGACGGCGTGTATATATTATGAATTACGATTATAGTTGAAATATTAGTGTGTAAAATGAGAATAATAGTATATAATTAAATTTATGAATGTGTTAATTGACATATAATATGTATAAAAAATTAAAGGGTGCGTGAAAATAGAGTTTTTACAAGAAAAGGGACCGCTCACGGGTACTAAGGATTCTCTAGAGCGTTTTTTTCTTAAAATTTTCTAAAGTGGTGTATTGTATGGTTGAGATTTAATGCTGAAAAATTGATGTGACTTGTCATTAAATCTCAACCACACAATACACCACTTTAGAAAATTTTAAGAAAAAAACGCTCTAGAGAATCCTTAGTACCCGTGAGCGGTCCCTTTTCTTGTAAAAACTCTATTTTCACGCACCCTTTAATTTTTTATACATATTATATGTCAATTAACATTTTTTTATTAGTTATTTTAATCCAAAAAAAAACTAACCCTAAAACATGGCCTAAATATAATTTTTTTTTAGGAAATAACTCTCCAGTGCAAGAATTAAAAAAAAAAATTACAAATCATTGAAAGAATTTATACATTTTAATAATTAAAACACTATACTTTTTTATAATTTTATAATTTTTTTTTTTCTGTGCACTGAACAGTTTTATTTCCCCCATTTTTTTCCCGAGCCACTAATATATTATTATGGGGTTTAAGGAAAGTTCGAAGAAAGTCCCCAAGCCTCTGCCCATAGACCGCATTTGAAGGGATCAAATAAGGTTGAAATGGTTATCTCACATGTTCTGTTCAAACAAAGTCCTCAATCTCTTTCTAGAAACAGCGTTGACGACATGTACAGACTTCAAAGGGGCTGTTTATTTGGCTTTTAAAATTTGTGTCAGACAATTTGTTATAACTGTGGAGAAGTGGTTTGAAAATACTCTTTTAATCTTGGAAGACGCCCGTGATTCTTACCTAGTCACCTGAAAAGGAATAAACACTCCGGTCTGGAGTGTCAGAATTAGCACTCCGACGGACAAGTCAGTCTCTACAATCTGGATTACTTATATTCTAAGCTAAGCGTAATAGTTCTCACCTCATTTTCTCTGACTGATGATCCCATATTTATAGTATTCTCTTTGGGCCTTAGGGCCAGGCCCACCCATGATCCTTTACACGTACTTCTACTCGGCCTTTGCTCTACTGGCTGGAGTGCCAGTTACTTTATTCGGCTCTTCGATTGACTAGGATCAATTCCAAATAGAAGTTACATTCCGGACTGGACGGGTCTATTCGTCCTTATTGATCCAATTACATTCAGCTCCCACAATTGCCCTCCAAACACCCTACTAGCATCAGTTAGTCGGCGTGTTTGGTTTCTAGCCTGGGAAGTCGAAAATTCGGCAGTTAATCCTCTTCCCAATGCATGTCAGAAAGCGCACACGCTTTTTGGTCATTGTCACGCTTTCCCGCCCCGTCGTACACTGCCTCCATTTAATGTGATTTGAAATTGTCTCTTCAAATGTATGTTCTGAGCACTCAAAGATATCTGGTTCGCCTTCTATTGCAACTTCTTCACTTCGCGACTTCTGCAACTTCTTGTTTCTTGTTTTTCCTCTTCACCTCCTGTAAGTTTTCTTCTTCCTCACTTTCGATCCCACCTCCTTGTTTGCTTTTAGTTTTCCATAATCCTCGGGTTGGTCAAGATGGCAAAACATCTGAAAGAGCTCCTTTCAGAAAACCGAATGTTCGACTTCCGTTACCATTTTTTCATCCCTGACGACATCCATTTGTCACTTTTGGCTGACAGCACCACTGACATGGAGAGGGATGACGAGAGCACAACCGTCTTCCCCCTCCTGTCAATTGTTGAGGGCGGAGTCCGTTTTCCACTTCATCCATTTTTGAGAGCCGTTTTACGATACAGGGGTCTAATCCCTTCCCAGCCCAACGTGAATTTCTTTCGTATCATAATGGGAATTATAGAGCTGAATCGGCGTCTTAGGATTAATTTAGGTATACCCGCCGTTCGGCACTGTTATGTCCTAGCCAAATCCACTGGCCGGCTAGGATGCTACTTTCTAAGAGCCAAGGATACTGACCATCACTTAGTGACCATGCTTGCTAACTCTAGAAAGCGTGTAGATGATGTGATGGTCGTTGTCCGCGGCAATTGGAAATTTGGCGAAGGTGAAGATTGCCTAGACCCGGTGCCGAGGCGAAAAGGCAAACCAGGTGGCTGATTAGACCAACTTTGTTTCTGTTATTTCGAAATCTGTATTCGGCACTATATACATCTAACCGTTTTCTTTGTGCAGGCAGCGACTTGAAGAGAGTGTTGGTTTTAGACGACGACGTTGTGCTCGCAAAAATCAAAACTGCACTACAGTTCGTCGGCCGTTCAAACCTTCAAAAACAGGGGAGGGCGGCCCACATTCTACTTCGGTATGAGCCAACTTATATGACATTCGCGGACAACATTTCGATCGCGCGAGGCGACAACCATCTCACAGCCCTCATCTTCTCTAGCTTCAAAAACTTGAGACAGATTGGTTTAGAAACATCCGATTCTGAACACGTGGAAGAACAAGCTGCCAAACCAATCGCCAAAGACCCAGACCAGTTGGCAGCGGAAGTTGACGAAGCAATTAACTCGGCCTTTGAGGAAGCTGAATTGAACACGTCTGATCTTCTGTCCACATCAGGCCAAGGGGACGCCTTCGACGATATTTTACGAATTTGGGAGACCTTCCCGGCGCTGATTCTGAGGGTATGGCTGGGGAAAAGTCTCTCTCAGTTGGCACGAAAGAAAAATGCCGAACATATGGCCGCCCGTCGGAAATCCGAGGCCACCCGCTTTGGACCTGCCCCCACTGAATCTTTCGCACCCATTGTTGTAGAGGAAACGACTCAAGTTTATGAGGCCGAGACGGGAAAGGTTGCCAAGCGGCCGATTACCGAAAAGCAGCCGATTTTAGAAGACCGGGGAGAAAAGAGTACAGCCGAGAGCGATGCCGTCTCCAAAGAGGGCCTCGTTGATAAACGGCCACGCTTAGAGGAGTCGGGCGTGGTTACTCCTTTTGTCGTTGAACCGAAAATAAAAAACATGCCGATCTCCTCTAAAGTGTCGGCTTTGAAAGATCCAGCTATGGCACTGAGTTTGGCTGCCTCGGTCTCCTTGCCGGCTGACAAGACAACCATTCGTGCCGAGCCGGATTTGGTGGCAATAGCCTTAGCTGCACAGTCGGCCCTGCTGGTATGCGACTTGATCTTAACTCGTTTGGTTTGATTTGCATACGACATTTCTTGGTATGTGATGATCTCAACTCCTTGTTTTGTAGACGGTTGGAAGGATAACCGAATTAGGCCGCCGCCAGCACGATGCCATTTAGTGAATTGGCCGCTTGAAGTCGGAAGCTGAAGGTGAGCGGAGCAGGGCCGAGTTTGAGGTGGCGAGAGCCACAATGGAAAGTGCTCGAGCCGAAGCTGAGAATGAGAGGGCTCAGACTGCCGACCAGCTCAGATCCGACACCGAGGAGAGGGCAAACATGAGCGAAGAATCACTCAAGTTAGCCAAGAAGGCGCTTGCCAAGGTGGAAGCCGAGTTAGAAGAGCTAAAGAAGGCCAAGGAAAAAGCTAACTTTGAGGCTTCGGCGACGTTCGAGGCTGGAAAGAGCACCACCCTCGAAAACTACGTAGAAGAAGTCCCCAAATTTGAGAATCGGGGATTCAAACATGGATGGCTCAAAGCCCTTGCTGCCGGTGGAGTTACATTGGCCATGTCAATTCCATACGAGCAAGTGGACGTTGAGCCACTCGAGTTGATCTCGAGCTTAATTTGAGAAACATTTTAGTTTTATTAGGTATTTTCAATTTCAATGTGTGTTTTTGTTTAGTAGACCTCTGTTGGTTCAAGGAAATTTTCATGTATAAATTAGTTACTATCTGCACTCAATTTATTAATGAAAATTTTCTTTTCATTTCACTCTTAGTTTTACGTAATTTTTGATATTAATGAAGAGTTTTGCTTTTCACTACTTTAGATAAAATGACTACTTTCTGTTGTGCATGCTCACTATCGATCATGAGATGAGTAAATTAAATATCTCACTTCATAGCTGCCGATTAGATAACAGTGTAACTTGGCAATTAATTTGACCTTAATTTAGCCGAACAAGTAATCCCACTGCATATCTGTCGATTAGATGACAGTGTAACTTGGCGATTAATTTAACCCTGATTTAGTTGAACAAGTACTCCCATTACATAGCTGTCGATTAGATAACTAAAGGTTAATAAATGTGATTAGATTAATACATGTGATCTTGCCGAATATTAGTCGTTCGGTCTTAGGTATTTAGCCGATCAGATTAATAAATCTGCCCTTGCCCCAGCCAATGTATGAAATCCGAGAGCCGAATATCACTAGTTCATGGAGTGGCTGCGGCACAAATCGGTCGGCATTAGGCTTCGGTATTTAGCCGATCAGATTAATAAATCTGCCCTTGCCCCAGCCAATGTATGAACTCCAAGAGCTGAATAATGCTGAATATTGGTGGTCGCTGGAGTGCGCGCATTGATGATGTCACCTCGGGAGGGGGGTGCACTCTTGAGTGATTAAAAAGGGGTTGAGAAACTCCAACTGAGTCTCATAAAGCGACTCGATTTTGCTTGTCCTTCATGGCCGGAAAAGCGTGAATGTCAACCAGACTTTTCTTTAATAGTAAAGGAGAGGGCAGGACGCTGGCGGAGCTGGACTCAACGATGAATCGAAGTGGCGAACCCCCTCGTACGGGGGGTAGGGCATCTGTAGAACACGAGAGGCCCCACTCTCCGCGTCGATGAAGTAGGTCCAAGGAAGGAGAAGCGCCAGCATGGGAGCTCCCCTCGTTTGCAAAGTGAGGCCAGTGGGCCACCACACCCATTGAGCTTTTCTATTTTCGTTGGGAATAGACCGATGACAGAGGCAGATTCCATCATTCGGGACTCGAACGTGGCGATCGAGTTTGCACAACAGATCTTTCTGCCCGAAGTCCAGCAGTCGATGGTTAGTCG